TTTCCCTAACAGTAGAAAAAATCAATTGCTAACAAGTGTAACTGGGTTAGATTTCAGTCAAAATTCTTGGTTTAATCCAGTTACAGTCTAGATAACACTACAAGCCTCCTTTTCTTTTTTCATAGTTCTACTACTTGTGCTACTAGCCAAGATGCTTCCTCCACTTTCATTCTGACTTCCTTCTTGATATCTAAGTGCTTGATTTGCTAGCAGAGCTTTTAGAAGGCTCTCCTGTAGTTTGCTGCCACAGACCTTTTAGCTCTCCTGTGTATTGACCAGTGGAAAAAATGTAGTAGTTTTCTTCAAAAGCTGTGAATGACTGGTATGCAACCTCTGCTTCTATGTTGCTTACTCTTGATAATTACTATAAAGTACATGTGCATTTCGTATACAAATATTTTCTTTAATGATTTCTCTCTTTAAGTATTCTTTTCAAAATTGTTTTACTTCAAATCTGTTAATGCTTATGTTTCTATGATTCTGTGATTCTATGAATGTTGCCCCAAAGACTGTCTGTGCAAGAGAGCACTAACTGGTGAAGTGTCATTTTCAGTAAGCCAGTGCTTGAGCATTAGTCACCCACTCAAGCTTGTCAGAGGGATAAAACTTCTCGTGCATTATATAAACTTCTGCAGATCCAAAAATAAGCTCCATGAACAGAAAGCTAGATGGAGGTAATGAGAGGAAAAGGAAATAGAGAAAACCTTGTTCTTCTAAATTTAATTCTGTTCAGTTATATATATATATGTATGCGTGGGTGGGTATTTGTGTATGTGTTGAATATAGATATATAATTTCTCTCTATATATATATACACACATATATATATAAACCTTTTTAGGCTTTCTGTCTTAAAAATTACACAGATAATACTCATGTTAAACATGCTATATTGGTCTTTCAAAAGAGAAGACTATAATATTCATATATGTATGTATACACTATATAAATTTATACTAGTATATATATATTCTGCTTTAAAATTCCCTCTGATACACCCCAGTACCAGAAAATGTATTTTTTCCCAACTGGCATAGGCATTTGTCCATTCTCTTGTGCTTATTTTCAATTCCACACACACTGCCACCATCTCCAAAATCATGTCTAAGTTAGGAAACATTCTTAATATTTGCTTCATACATTTAAGAATACTAAGTGCTATTTGATTACAAACAGGTAAGAATTTTTAGTGGAGAAGAAATATTGTAGAGATCTGCAAAATATCAGTAAAATGCAGATGAAGAGATCTGAAATCCACAAACCCAAAAACACTCAATGAAAAATCCAGGCAGAAGTTTCAAAACAAATTCCCTCATACCCACAGATTACTAGTGCTGTGCTTATCCAAAGAGT